CCGGACGGGCTCGGCCGTTTCCGGAGGCGCTCGCGAGGGAGTGAGACCAGTGCCGGGAGGGCTCGGCCATTTCCGGAGAGAACTCGGAAGGGGGCGGGGCTAGCGCCAAGTCGGCTCGGGTGCCTCCATAAGCGCTTGCCAGGGGGCGGGGCGAGGGGACGGTGCCGAGCGCAGAAGCCCGGAGCTGCTGTCTTTTTTTCTTACGGCCTTATTTTTTGCCAAAAGTTGGTTTCATGTCCCATTCTAAACATAGTGTCACCTCTAGTTCCCCATCGTCAGCTGTGGCCACGCAGGAAATTCAGCCAAAGAAAAGGAAAACATACAATAACATTGCCATTAAATTACCGTTTGAATTCGGTCATAACTCCCAACGACACGGATGGTCCGAGTTCTGCCCTTTGACACAACTAAGGAGGCTGCAGCTAACAGTTCTCATATTTATTCTTAAATCTGGTAAGTGCGCATCATTGGAATCATTACAAAAATCAGCATTTGTACTTGAGGAAGATTAAATGGGCCCGCGGGGCTCAGTCTCTCCCGACGAGGTGGGTCTCCTGAGGCCTGTCGATGCGGAAGAGCAGCTCGGCGGGCTGGAAGTAGCCCAGGTACTGCACGCTGTCCGGGCTGGTGTCCTGGTGGTAGTGCCCTCCTTCCCCGTGGTGGCTGAAACAGTGCGTGTGCTCCACACGCAGATCGAACCCCTGGCACCAGACAGAGGCCGGTCAACAACGCAAGGCAACAGCATTTAAAAGTCGCAGGACAGTCTATCCTAATGCGTATTTTCACACATCTCCAAACGTTAAGCAGTGAAAACGTGCAAGACACTTGTGAAACCAGTAAAACAAAAGAATTTAGAAACCCTGACAGGCCCAACTTTCTGTGTCAATCTGTCTGAGATCTCCTTTTTAACCTTACCCCCTTCCCCCCATTATTTGGAAATCCTCCCCTTTGCATTATTTAATCCCAATGGAATCCCTACTGGAAATTAAACCTCTTTGCACTGAATTGCCACAAGCCCATGTGCTAACTGTCTACTCCAATTTTGAGAGCCAGCTTAGATGAATTTGGGAAGAACAGTGACTAAAATAGCAACTAATATCCTAAACCATGAGATCAACATCACCAGTTTTATGTGACATTGAATGGGTGGTGTTCATAGGGACCTTCACAAATCATATAATTCTAACCACCCTGTCATGGGTCGGGACATCTTCCATTCGACCAGCTTGCTCAAAGCCCCATCTAACCTGGCCTTGAACACTCTCACAGATGGGGGAGTCAGATCTTCTCTGGGAAACCTGTTCCACTTCCTTTTCCCACTTAACCTAAATTTTTTTTTCCATATATCCAGTTTAAACCTGCTCTCTTTCAATTTAAAATTGTTGCCTCTTCTCTTGTCACTACATGTCCTGGTACAAAGTTTCTCTCCATCTTTCCTAAAAGCCTCCTTTAAGTACTGGAAGGCTGCAATAAGGTCTTTCTGGAGCCTTTTCCAGGCTGAACATTGTCAGCTTCCAGTCTCTCTTCATAGGAAGATGTACTTGTCTCTGGAAAAACGTTTTTGTATTACTTACGACTTCATTGTTACTTATGAAATAGTCATTTTCATCTATGGGTTTCTGGTTACTTTTAAACAAATAGTTTTCCTAATTATGAACACTAAAGGTTTTTGAAACCAGAATGGTTTTGATCCTAAATTATTTGCTGTTGAGTTTGGTTCTTGTGAAAGTTTCTAGGTAAATTTCCAGCATGAGACTTTGCAGACTTCAGTTTATGTCAGGAACAGGACACATGCTTCATGTCCTTTGACACAGCATTAGCAGAGGGAGTTCTTTTGAAAGCCTACTACATAAACACCTGGCTGAACCACCTTCCATGCTTTTGACATTTCTCCCAGTGTGGCCAGCAGTGAATGTAAACCTTACTGTTGGCTTTAGGATACAAACACTTGCATACATGCAACTGGAACAGAACCATTAACTTAATCCACTATGAACAACCACTAGGTTTCAGAACAGATTGACCTATCCTCAATTCAAACAATTCACAGAAATGAGAAACTTCTCAATCACTGCCCCTGCTCTGGAAGAGTCGAACACAATATATATACACACTCCCATTCTAGAACTGAAAATCACATCCAAAATTCATTATAGGTCTCAGTCTATACTTAGAAATGAGAAAAAGAGACTCACCGGATCTCTGGAAACTATTACTGGCTGACAAATCAGTGGAGCCTTCATTTCAAAGAATTTGAGCCAGTTATTTACATCCTCATCGGTATTTAGGGGACAGGCAGAAAATTCTGGAGGCTAGAGCAAAAATTAAAGCTTTTTAAGTGAAAGGAAGAACACTTGCATCAGGCTACTTTTTCTGAAGCAACTTTGCTTTTTTCCTCCCTACTATTCTGTTAATTTTCCTTCTTGACTGAAAGAAGCTCACCAGTGTCCATCTCTCTGTTTCTCCCAGAAACAGAAGCAACCAAAATACTGCATCTTTCATTGCACAGGTAGTGGGAGATCTACTGAAATGAGGATGGTCTTCCTCCTGGTACATTTTAGAAGCTCTGTTATTTAAAAAAAGTTTAATACTTCTTATAAGTATCATCTGAGTTCATGTATTTCATTTCAATTCAGTTTACAACAGTTCTCCAGTTCTTTAGCTGCACAAAGATTTCAAAATATGATGGCATTAATGCCAACTAAAATAGAATTGCTAGTTTACTAACACTGATTTTGTAATGTCAACTCCTTACTTTAATACAGTGCTCATCCTAATAGTTTATGCATCCATTTAAAAATACAAAACAAAATGAAGCAACTGAGATGTTACACCCTGATTTATACTTCTGTTTACATGCATTGAGAACAACATACCATAATGTGAATCTTTGCTTTCCCCTTCTGAATGATAAACGTACCACCCATCCCAACTGGCTTTTCTCCATAGTGTTTCTCTAAAGTTTGTCTCAGACAGGACACAAAGTTAAGCTCCCCGGTTCTTCCATTGGCTTTCACTTCAATGACCTGGAAGATAAAAGTCAGTTTGTCACTGCTGTCTCCTGCTGCAGTAGTCTGAGAAGGTCTATGAAAGCTGCTCTGAAATTCTCCCAAGCTGATAACGCAAGATCACTTTCTGAAAAGATAAGCCTCCATGCAAGTGCTGCTGCATTTCCATCTTTCCAGTATGTGAGCAACTCTCTTTACCTTAGTTCTGTTCAATGCTAGCTTTGCCTGTAAAGGGAGCTGGGCAGCAAGAGATTTACCCATACATGAGACAGTGACTTGAGCAACTCCCTTCTGTCCACCAGTTGGCTTCCACTCTGTCAGAAAGGAACACTGGGTAGCAGAGGAGACTGTTCAGTTTCCATGCAGCAGTCAGGTTTTTGACTGTTCTGCCAGCATCTTTTAGTGCTGGCTGTGTCAGGAGAAGCACTTGTGCAAAAAAACTACCTAAGTGCCCACGTCTCACACAAGTACATTGCACCATTACCTTAAGTCACTGCTAGTTTGGATTGGATTTAGATGAATGATTTATGATAGAAAAGTTTTAGTAAACTAATACCTATCCCTCAAAAATTCAAGTGCCTCTGTCTCCACTAATTCTTCCCCTCAATCACTGGCATCAGTTCCTCATTTTTGCATGTTTCTCTTATGGAATTGCTACTTGACTATTATCATAGAACACTGCTAGGAGAAACATGAGTTTCCATTCAGTCACAAAACTCTGCAAAGTCACCTTTGATCGAAGTACGTACTTTACCAGGTTGTCCCTCACTGGCATAAAGGTTGGCCAACAGTCCAAACTCACAATCAGTGTATTTACTGCTGTACTTCTCAAGCAGGCACCCTTTATCTGCAGGATTTATCTGAGCAACATAGCTCCCATTTACAGCAGGCTTTTTTTCACTCTTGGTTTGAACAATAGGGATCAGCTGGGAAAAAGAACATATAAGAAAGAATAAGTCAATAAGAACATGTAAGAATCAGCCAAATTAACTGAACTCACATAAATGTGATTTAAGCTTTGGACCATGATCCCAAGAAAAAATCCACTTCATCACACAGCTCTGTCTCTCAGGATGAGGTCTGCACTGGTAAGAAAAATGCACTAATATTGTAATGTAATTGAAAGGTCCAGAA